CCTTGAAGATACTTTTTAGAAGTCACAGACCTTGATACTATGAGTAAAGCAACTAGACAGTGCATGAAGGAGTACCAAAAGATGGCAGAAAAAACCAAACCCTGAGCTTAAAAACTTTGGATAAATTCTTCCCAGGAGAGTATTAATGACACTCGGATGCAGTTCCATGTTAAGCACTTTTGCTGCTAGAAATAAAGAATTTTTGCCTTCCCGTATCCTCACTACTTAAGCCTTGTTCTAAGTGATATAAGCCTAGCTGGGAGAGCAGGTTTACGTGCTCTAGTTCAAATCAGTGAAGTGACCCCCGTTAAAAACACCCTCCAAAATCTGAAACAACTCGAAGCCAAACAAACAAAAATCCAAAAAAATCCCAACACACAAACCAACCAGCCAACGTCATGCCCATTCACTAATCTGGTTTACAGTATGAATCTCCAGTGTAATTGTAGGGTGGTATGAATAACTAGGTGCAGGTACAAAAGTGCACTGGCTTTACTGATAGAAATTTATACCATGTACCATGGCATGTATGTTGAAAGATTCTACTGCCTGAAAGAACACCAAGTGCTCCGAGACTGTAAGAAAAAATATGCAGTTCCAGAAATGAAAAAGACAACAGCTTATGATTCTTATGATTTCATTTTAGTAATTTACACTATCCTGTGCGACATGATTTACATAATCTTCTCACTCTGTAAAAGATGAATACACTGGATGTGTTACCTGCAAGACCTCAACTCAAGCTTTCTGCTCTAGAGTTTCTCTTTCAAACCCAACTGATGTCTGCTTGGCCGATAGCAGTCTTGATGAAGTTGTTGAATTAGCAAGCATTTGAAGCTTGTGTGGATTAGATATTGATATTATCTGCTGCAGAATTACAGTCCTATTCTTTTGGGGCAGACATGGAAGAAAATACCAAAGATGAATTCCATTCATGTTAGATATCATGTCTATCATACAATTGGTGCATATGATCTTCAAACCACATGAAATGGAAACCACTTGGAAAAACAAAGGAACAATGAGTTCAGCAGTTACAGTTTGGACACTTACAGGTCTATTCCACAGATTTTGGCTATTAAAATTTGTTCAGTAACATTAAGTAATCAAAAGTCAGCAACTGATCAGCAACTAAAAGGCAAACCGCTGTAAGGGTGCAAATCATAAATATTATCAGTGACAACTGTGAGACAGAATCAGTACTGTCAGTCTCTTCTCTTCCCTTTCCTGTTGCTGACCTGTTATCTTTTATACTCCCAGATGCACTTCATACATTGTTTTACCTCTATCAGAACTAATTTTTATTTGGAAGTAGAAGTCAAGAATCAGAATGAAGATAAGCACTTGGGTTTTTTCTGCTTACACCTCAGGAGGCTGGAAGGACAAAATTCAGGAGGCCATAGGTAGCGTTTGTTAATGGAAAAGAACTAAATAAATAAAAAAATTAGCTCCTACAAAAACACCCAAAACATCAACAACAATAAACCATTCACCTCAACCCTAGTGTAAAAATTTTTGGAAAAGCTCTCTATGCATACAATATCTACTTCGTACTTTCCAAAATAACCACTTAATCATTTTATTTGCATCTTTTCAACTCAAAATACTATACTGAAACACTGTAAGCTTTAAGGATATCTCAAATTACAAATGCAAAGTGTGAAAAGCAACATGAGCTGTTGCCTCCTATCCAGGACACTGGTATATTTGATTTCGCACATTTATATCCATATGGAATCTTACCACTGATCTTTCAGAATATCCAAACAAATGGCTCCAGTGACTGAGCTAATATTAGGATGCCATATTTTGGTGATAAACCGCACCTAAAAGACAAGACAATATTTAGAAACAAAAATGGTTATTAAATGCACTAGATTAGTAAACATTTTAAATGCACTATTTCTAATAATAAAGAAATACTAATTTAGGAAGTATCAAGCTAAAAAACAGAACTAAGACACGCGATACCACTTATTTCGGGAAGCTTCAAGTTCGCAAGGCTATTTGTTAGACAGAGCCTTTCTTTACTCCAAGCCACAGTACTGCCCATTCGAGGACACCAAATTCATCCCTAACTGCTTTCCCATACACTGTCATGTGTGCACATCCCTGCATCACACAAAGCCATTTAGAAATACCCTCCAGCAGTACGACTGTTTCGACATAAGCAGATGGTCAAATACAGACAAAACTTCCAACATTGTAAATGCTAGAAACTTCCAACATTATAAATGCTAGAAAGTCCATTTTAATAAAGTGAAACAAGTCCCTGAACTCTTGATGTAGGCATCGGATCTCGGTGTTCAGCTAAAGTATTGGTAGCTATAGAAGTATGATAAAAGTTTCCTTGGTGGATGCTACTACTTCTACAACCATCCATTCTCATTACCCATATGCACAGAGCTCTTCAACAAACCAAAACCTAACTAGAAGATTACAATTATTTTTCTTTGCTGTTGAAAGGATCTAGTCCCAGCATTCATTCATTGATCATGTCCATATTTTTACACTAAAATAAAGTGTATTCATGCTTACAAAGCATGAATAAAATCAGTTTGGTTTTTGTTTTGTTTTGGGGTTCTTTTTTTTTTTAAAAAGACACTGAGAAAGTTAAAAGCAGCGTTTTCTTTTAGAAGTCTCAAAACCCAAAGCTGTCCTCCAAAAGGAATATATAGAAGCCTTTAGCAATTTCACCTTCATTGTCTTCAAAATCCTTATTTCAGGTTGCACTTTAACTGCCTTCTAGTGACTTTGACCTGTCTCTGTTTCTCATTTCTACCTCCCCACCCCAAACCCCTGATAAACATTTTACGTATAGCACAGATCTTTCAACTTTCGTCCCTGATCTGCAAGCAAATCAGTGCAGAGAACATGTTATTTGTCAGGCACTACAGCAAAAGACTGCACATGCAGGGCTATAATAAAATCAGTGCAATCATGGTGTATAAATAGGCAAGACCATAACAGTTCCACTTTCCAAGACAGAAAACAAGAGATCATGTCAGCTGGGCCACTTATTAACTAGCTCAACTCTCTAAATCACTCTGAAAATGTAAAAAGCCATGTAAATACTAGGCAATTTCTCACAGTGAATGATGGCTAACAATGGCTGTCAAAGCACATACTGAACAAGATAAAGAAATCTTTCAGATGAAAGGCAGGGCTAGACACAAGCAAAAAGGCCTCCAGTTCAAGACTACAGACTCCAGAACAAGCAGTACTATGCTACAGTGCACTGAGCTTCTAACAGCTGTCTATAAGCTTTGGAAATGGAAACCACCAAGCCCTAAAGCAGCAATTAAACCATGGTCCATAGACCCATCTTTCAGTGTCTATGACCTGTTTCAGCTTGCCTTATTTTAGCTCCCGCCACAACACAAGCAGATGAAAGAACTGAAACCAACAGACATTTCATTAAGACTTTCTGTGTCTTTCACTCCAGCCTCAAGGAAGTCATTCATAGGACAAGAGCCAAGGAGCTATGAGCTACTGGCACCTCTCCCTTCCTCCTCTTCCCCAGTTCCTTCCCAGTATTACATACCAGGGTGAAAATAATCAGGATCTAGGACACGCTCTTAGTTCAAAGACGTCTTTCAGACAAACAGAAAACCAATCAAGAAGCTGAGTCAGACAACTCAGGAGTCTGCTGATTCATCAGAAGCCACTGAAGAAGGGACTAAATCAGGGCACAGGAATATACAGTTGCAGCTGCATATGGCTGGGGAGAACACTATTCAGATTGATCCACTTAGGAGGGAAGTGGAATCACACATTTAAGGTGCTAGAAAGATACAGTAAAGTTGAAAGGGCAATAAGTTGTATGTACGAGTGACTTTACCACAGCCATTTCTCTTTCTCATCCATGTGCACGTTTTATGCATTCCTTCAACAGACTTGCAGTAAGACCATTATATTTCTCTATTGGTTCTTCAAGTCACACAGCTGTACACCTCACTATTTAATTATTAGTAGAAACTTGGTAGGTTAGACCCAAGACTCTACTGAATATAATTTATGGAGCCCAAGAAATTAAAAGAATGAATAATTATCTATTACAGCATTTACTCAATGAGACTGGGGTGGGGGGGGAAGATAGCTGTACTCTCTACATCAAATAAAACTATCTGAAAACCGTATTTATCTTGCCAAAAAGAAGTTACACGAGGGTCAATAGTAAGGCACAAGCTCTTCCCCAGAACTTGCCAGTTTGTACTTTAAGAAATAATCCGGAGTGTACTCCTGATTGGATACAGCTATGCATCCTGCATTATTTCTACCTAAAGATGAGAGCTCCAATGCCTGTGTATGAGAAGAAGAAAAAAAAAAAAAAAAAAAAAGGAAGATGGGTACTACAAAGAGACTACACACACAAGCAAATAAATAAATACGCAAAACCAACTTGTTAGCCAAATTATTTTATCCAAAAAAAGCGTTTACAGTACCTTAGGAGGATTAAATGGATATGTTTCTGGAATTTTTATCTCTAGTTGATACCTTCCACCTGCAAAAGACAAGTTAGAAATTAAAACAAAAGAATATTACTCAAGCTTTGTCTTTCATGACAATAAAGCTTATGTTTCTAAATGGACAGGTTCTCAAGTAATTCAAATTTACTCAGAAGTATTAGCTAGAAGACACTTCTAAATTTCATATATTTTATAAATAAATGCATATAAAGCCAACCTAATAAAGTCATATTTGTTTATACAAATCAGAATCTGTCTGTCTTAGGTATATTTAATGTGTACATTCTCCTATAGTTTCTTGTTTCCAACGCTGTAATTTCCATGCTCTATTTCAGTAAAATATACCAAAATATGAACCAAATATCCCCCAAACAGAAGAAAAAATAGGCCACAGGTACATTCAGGCTGAACACGGGATATTACATTATTTTTACTCCTTTCTGATACCTCATGCCAATAAATTTTCTTCAAATTACACAATTGAAATTAACTATATTTCATTTTAAACTTCCTGGAACTGAAGAACGTTCAGCTGAATAATTTTAAAAAAGCTTCCACATTTTGGGGAAAAAAAAAATTATAAAGGAGGCTCCAATATTACTTCTACGATGTTCTACATTACTGTCTGAAGTAGTTACTTCTATTCCAATTCCGCAAACACTTTGACACATTAGTACTATTACTATAGTTTGCAGGATTACAGGATGCAAAAGGATAGTATGAGCTTGGTGGACAGAACCACCTTCTACTGCCCTTTTCTAAACACTTCTCATTTTTCTCTCCCTGTTACAGTATCACTACCAATGTCTATTTCAATTACAGTTTTGTTAATGTTCAAGTTTACTATAGATACTCATGTCTTCTGGAGTAATCTCAAACTATCTCTGCCTGCCCACTGAAGATCATTTGCCAGGCAGCAGTTTAATGACAAAAAGAACAGTGTAACAAAACATATACACCAATTTAGACATTTAGTTTTTATAGAAACTGAAAGCATTTCTCCTCACTTGCAATTTTTTTCCTCATCCTACAGCTGTCCTTTCACAAAGGAACCTTTTCCCTCCCTCAATATACTTTGTTACAATTATAAATTTCCTTAAATTAAAGTTGAAGTATCTGCAATCTATTTCCTTTGGGATTTCAAGAGTGATTTACACTGTTGCAAATCGCTCTATACAAAACCAGCTCTCAAGTAGTCTCAATACAGGCAGCAAAATTCACACGAAGGGGAAAAAAAAACCTCAAAGGAATACTCTGATCAGTTACAGTCTATGACACCTTTTTATCTGTGCCAAAATGCATGTTAGCAGTTACTAACACCTCTCACTTTTAAAAATGTAATTCAGTCTAATACACTACACCTGAAACTGGTTAATAGTTTAGTATTTTATACTACTTTCTACAGCTGGTTTTTCTCACTTAATACTACAGCAACTTCAGAAGATTTAACAGAAAATAGAATAAAGGCCAATAAATCAAAAATTATAATAGTTAATGTTTAAGTTGATTGCTTGTCTGCTTACAGGACGGCACAGGCGAAATATTATTGAAGACACGTACATCAACAACAGACCTTAAGTATGTTTGCTTTTCCTTTTGTTGGAGTTGAAGCATAATTCAGCATCAATTTTTCTTCAGAAACAGAACTGTTCCTGGACTGCAAAAATTCATCAGTCCCTGTATGATTTTACTGCCCCACCATTTTGTAAGGTAATATGAAGCCTGTCCTCAGGTACTGCCATTTCTTCTGCTTACTCTTAAAACTTGCCTTTAAAAGACAGACTATTGTAGGCTTCTGCATAACAGGCTATTTAGCAGCCCATTTTTTCCACCTGGAATGTACAAGTCCAAAAGGTTTTAAAACCGCAGGGACTAATGAGTTGGTAATATTATTTATACAGTATTGCTGTCATGCACTGAAGTTTACATTTAAAAATATAGGCTTGAAGACTTAAACTGAACTAATCTGGATATTAATTTCCTTAATACTACATTTAAAATGCAACTGAATAACATACTAACTTCTGCATGCCAATATTTCCGCAGAATTTTTTACAAAGGAGTATGCATATGTACGGCTTTTTCATAGCTATTTAATACTTAAGATTGAATTAAACAGTAATGGCAGAATATTCCTTCTGTACTCCTACCGGAGCATATGTCTCATAATAGAGTTAGAGCAAGTTTTAACTATTTTCCTTGAAGAAACACCCTATTTATAAATTTTGCAGTTACTGTGGCTCACATGCAAACTTGGCTTGAAATTAATACCATGGTTACACAGGGTTTAAAAAAAAAAAACAAAAAAACGACAACAAAAAACCTAACCAACCTATCTATTGAAAAACTCTTGAATCAAGTAAAACCCAGCAGCTATTAATCTAGACTTTCAAAGGTCCTCTCTCCAAACATACGTGTTTTAACGTGGGATGCAAACATATTTCAACTGAAGTTGTGTCTTGCAATGTTCTGAGAATTGATCAACATGAGTTGACGCTACTGACAGAAAAATAAAAGCTGTAAAATTTGTCAACAATAGATGGCATTCTTCCTCTCAGTCACAAACCAATGTCCCAACATCACCTATATAAGAATTCTGCAGCAGCAGTTTGTTTTCAGATACCAACTGCGATCAACAATAAACATTACTGATCTTTCACTTCAGAATGGTCCTGGCATTCCTTCCTGTATCACAGAATTGTCTGACCTGAACTACTGCATTAATTAGCTTTTCTTCATAAAGCACTTCTTGCTGTGTCAATGTTCAGGCTATAGATGACAGCAGATCAGTCAGTAATTATGCAGCATGCATTGCTGCATTAATCATAAAAAGTAAAGTATAGACACTGGCAAGCCCTTCATAATTACATAAGGGAATAAATGCATAAAACCATGTTACAGAGATATTAAGGTTTCAAAGTAAATTACTCAAGCATCAGGAAATGCCAGAAATTGGGCTGCTGGTAACTTTCATTTTGCTCCTTGGTGCATATGCCTTTTAGATCAAAGTAAGCATACGAACACATTGCTTTTCCTTGAGATCCCTGCCATAATCAGAATACGTAGTAGTTTTAGCCCCCTAAAAGGGACATTTACTATATCCTCATCATTAAATGTACTCGTATATATGTAGGTATGCATGCATGCATTTCACATCAACAAATTCCACACTAAACATGTATTGCTGATTTTCATTAGCAGGATATGCTGAATATGTGAATACACAGTGCTCAGCTTTTGAAATTTTGGTCTAGCTGAATTATCCGTCATCACACAGAATCCAGTTCTACAGACAGGCATTCCAATCTTTTTTTACCCTCTTCATGAACTGCTATACAGTTTTTAACTTTTGTGACACATGAATACATCTTTCATTTCAAATAACTCTCAATACAGTCTCCAAAAAGGGTCCATTTTATAAGCCAAGGTAATGCTGACCTGGAGGGAAAAAAATGGCAAGCCGTGACAAACCAACTCACCCAAGGGGGATTAATTCTGTTTGAACAGAAAAAAAAAAAAAAACAAACATGAAAAAAATCCCAAACCAACACCCTCCCCCCACCATTCAGATGTTTCCTAGCATCCAATTACTTAATATTGCAACATCTTAACATCTGTATATAAGACTTGGTTTTACAGGACCAGCTTTATTTGCAAAAGAACTATTACACTAAACAGATTGATCCGCTTCCAAAGAGGTCACCAGCACGACTGTGTATTTTAGGTCCACAGCACAGTTCTTTAAAATTGAAGGCACATGTTATAACCAGAAGAAATTATGTTCTTTCCAGACATTATCTTCTGTCAACTAAACACTAGTGGCTGATAAGATGAGGAGAGACACACATGGGGGAAGGAAGGGAGGGGGGAAATGGCCATTATTTGCTAGACAGCAGAGGAACTCTGGGACGCAAGTTCTGGAGGGGGGCATCCTTACCATTACAGATGCTTCTACTCTTCTAGTCTCTCCCTTCCAGACTCATTTCCTTTCTCCTCAGTGTCTGACACCTCCTACCCCTGCTGCCCAGTGTCCTCCAATGTCAACCTCTGTTCGGCTGTTTCCTCGTCCTTGATCTGCCCTGGGCGCCAGCAGGGTCGAGGGGGGTGGGCACTGGGGAGACTCTCCCTGCTCTCAAGTCCAGTGCTGCTGCACCAGCAGCTCCCAGCCCGGAGGAGCAACCACAAGAGTGTCTGTCCTCCTTAGCGAAGATGCAACCACCAGATTTTCATCAGTAGCCACTAACGCTTTCGAGTGCATATATGCCTGTACCTAACACAACAATTTTCAGATATTCTCCCCACTTGATGAGAATTTATTTTTCAAAATAATGACGAACAGCATGTGTCTGGTCTCTGGATGATACTCGAGTCCCACTCTTAGCTCCAAGGCATGGAGCAACTAGAGCAGCTGAAAACTTGGAAAACTGTTTTAATTTCCAACAAAACAATTTATTTGCCTGTAACATTCATCAAGACTTTTTTTTTTTTTACTAGAAGTTCAAATTCAAATCAAAGTAGATACCCGGCATGGAAAATTTGAATAAAACACCATTTAAAAGTAACCAAAAATGTTAAAAAAAAAATCCTCATTTATCATCGAGGAACATTAACAGAATGTGTGTCTGCCAGCTCCATATATATTACACACAAACAGAAAGTTTACAGGTACCAGCACTATTAAGTAATTTGGTATCTCTGATGAAGTATGCTATATTAGCTTCTGTTAAAGCTTCTATATGTAATAAGTTATCTTGGTTTTTCCACACTGAAGAGATGCACAATTACTTTACCAGCTTTAATAAACCAGAAAGTCAGTAAGGTGTAATTTTTGTAGAGAGCTATAGACATGAAGTTTTACTATAGAGTCCCCCACTCCAGCATAAATTAAGCATTGGGACCCATGGATGCCTGAAATTAATCCCAAATTTAACTTGCAACAGCATCTCTCCTTGAGATAGAAAAATGCAACATGTTTTTGAATGACCACCACATTAGATCACAGAAATATACATACAGTTAAATTAGATTCTGAAGCTGAATTTCTTGATGCTTCATGGCTAAAGAGCTTAAACTGTCAAGGCGGTAAACAAACAACTAAAAGTCAGAATTACACCAATTGCACTGCACAGCTTATACCTGTAAATTAACCTTTGATATGGGATAGTCTATCCTACTGTAGAACAGATCTGTCTTCAAGGCAACACAGAAGTTGAACTGAAATATTTTTCAAGCTTAAATTTGTATTTTTAAAAAAATGAGACTATTTTAAAACACGTAGCTTGACATTTTTATGCTGTAAATTAATTTCACAAACAAAGCATCTCAAGACACATGATTTGAAGTGTACAATGACTGCATACACAAAAACATTACTTGCCTTCATATGGTGTGTCCGGAGGTCCGGCTATTTCTCCTCTTAATTCTGTAAAATTCTCATCTACAAGATCTACTTTAATTTGATTTTTGCTCGTCTTAAAAATAAACAGAGAAACAAAGAATCATAAGTAAGCATTTGACATACAGATTTTCCCCAAAATATGGTATTTTAATTTTTTAGAATAATTTTTTTTTTTAAAAAATATATAAATAAAAAATTTAAAATATAGTAACCTAAAGCAAATAGCTATCTTCCAGTTGGAATTTTACTTCATTAAAAACAGACTATTTGTGAAGCATTAGAAGTTTTAATAATATTATTTATACTATCACTAAATAAGCAAAGCAACCCAGCAATATAATATCTAAAGTTGTATTTTTAAGTTGATTACATTCTAAAAAGACCGTGGTCTTTCAAATCAGCTATTAATTTACATATCTTAAACTATAAAATTAATTTGACAGAGTCACACATTGGTTTTTTTCTTGTTTAGAGCAATTTAATTAATAATAGCCATGATTGTCACTTTCACTGGAGTACAGAAAGACTTCCCAAATGGAGTGCTCACTGTTTTTAAACAATACGGTGATTTAAACAGAATACTGTAGTCTTGCTTAAGATCATGTTTATCTTTAATATTTAGGCATAAAGGTACAATTTATTTATACACTTGAATTTCATTGTCACCTCCTCAACATTTTCACACCCCATATCAACTTGCCTACAAAATAAAAACACTGTATTTTGATACTGGAAAAAACATATGTTTTCCAGAAACTCATTCTCAAAAGTGTTTAGCCAGAGATACTCATTCCATTGAGTTTGCTTTCCAAGTCCAGAGAGCAGTGTTAGTGAACTTCATACAAATCTTTCAGCCAGTAACTTTTTTGGGGGGAATCAAAGCAGAATCTCCTTTTAGAAAGATATACTATGAAGTTTTTAGAGGGACTTAATTACAGGTTTGTCCATTCTGCCACTTCTGTATACCATGCACACTGACTGCAATACAGATATCCCGAATCCCATGTTATTTGTTTCAAGAACTCATATCATCTTCCCAGATCCTTTAAAATGGTTCCAACTAGTTCTATGCCAAAAAGCCCCGTGCAGCTGTGCTTCTCTTCTCCCTCAGAGTAAACCTGGCTGCTGACAGCTATGAGAGAAGAGTTAAATCAGATAAAGCTGATGGTTGCCATCAACTGGTTCTTGGATCTATCAATGATGGTAACCGTTCAGGATGCAGAAGTCAGTGAACAACAGCTGGGAGATTACCTCTATTTCCTCCCTGTAAACGCTCTATAGATTCAGTCCGTCCCCCCCCAACAAAGAGGGTGCTCTTCTGACCAGAGATGCTCACAGATATAAAGAAAAATCGAAGTTGAAGTAAAAGTTTCAGCATGTAAAAGACCCTAAAAGTTTCACTAAATTACTCCGATGGTGATTTGGGAGCTTTTTACATCTATAATTACACACACTTGTCTTTAAAACTTGGGTAAAAATCCTTCAGCCCACACAAATGAGGCAGCACCTGCAACTGCATAACTGAGGCCAAGTACCACACTTCAAAAAAAACAAAGATTGAACCACGCTACAAATTAAGAACACACCATGCACCTCCAAAATCAAAAGCCAGTTAAATACTAAATGTAATAGTTCTGTTTTACTGATTTATATCAATAAACTAGCTTTTTTTTTTTAAGCTCAGCACCAGATCTTGCGCTGTCTTTCATGACCTTAGCTAAGACATCACAGAAAGGCAGTTATTAATAGAACTGATAAAATTATGTTTATAAATATATTTTAGATTTCTTTCTTGTTCCTGTTCATACAAGTTGCCTAACCAGAGAGCAACTGAAACAGTTTTCTTTCAAAGCTTTGTTTGCATAATACTGAGCAGCAGAAGGACAGACTGTCCCAGCGAGACAGCCCTCCCCAACAGCCAGGCACTGTAAGAAACTCCCTCTCTGCATCCAAACTCAGTCATAGGCAACACATCCTCCTGCAAGCTTTCCAACCCCCCTTGTAAGTTTTTTGCTCTCGCTGTTCCAACTGGCAGCTCATTCCACAACCTCACAATTGCTAAAAGCTTTCTAAACTACAATTTAGGCAACGTTATAATCTATTTACGCCCACCTGTGACAGCATTGTTTCCCAGCTTCAAGAAGTTTCTTTGTATCTCTAGTATTTATTCCCCTCGCAAAATACATGGCATTTATACCGATTTCCCTTTTCAGCCTTAATTTTGCTCTAAACAAGCTGTAATTTTAATCTCGCCATACTGATTTTTTAAAAATTTCTGCACTCCACGTCCTACGATCACCGAACTAGCCCTACATAAAGAAATTTAGACGGAGTCTCAGAATCAGTGCCACGAACACTCTGTTGCACTCACTGAAAATACATCACGACCTGCATAACCTAAGATCAAATTTGTCTTCTTCCGTGGCAGCACGACACGAGGCTGCGATCAAGTAAGAGGGTCCCAGCAAGGCTTCCTATGGAAGTTTTTGTCCTCTGAGGAAGCACAGTGCAGTCACTGAAGAGGTGCTGCCCCCGTGCATTACCTCTTAGTTCACAAAGCAGCACGTGGGTTTAAATAACCAACACAGTTAACGAGTCACCAGAACTACCTGCTCGGGTAACGCAGTCATTCTAAGGCCTATGCAGGTTCTCCTGCTCTCCCCCCGTCAACTTTACCTGGTAGGCTCCGAGCTGACAGCAGGAGCTCTTGTTCTTTGCAAGTAAACTCGTAACTCTCCATCTTGAGGACTGAAGCAATAGCAAAAGGGATGAAATTTCAATTAGACAATCTATGGTTAACCCATGCTGCAGCTTGCTTAATTTTCTACTTTTCTTCTGTGCCCTGCACACTGTTGTAGCAGTCTGGATAATCACCTTCATATTCAATTTCAATTAGTACCACACTAGGTGTTTTTCACAGTAAAATCCTTCCTGACTCCATAAATCTGGTAAAAAACAAACAAACCAAAACCCTATTGCTAAGCTCAGTTTCTTTCAAGAGTCAGGGACCCTGGCTCCCCCATTTGAGATGACTGCTTTTATTACTACAGCTGTAGTCATCTCCATACCCTTATTTGCTTTGTACAGAACCTTGAGGAAAAATGGCAGGCTACATTACACTGTTTCAGTGTAAGGATTAATTTAATTTCGGGTTCATGCTTAAATTCTACCATGCCCTCCATGTAACAAATGCATTTTTTATTTAGATCGCTAAAGAACCTTTTTCATGCTATTCGGATAGACTTTTCAAGGTGCAACTCAGCTTGACCTTGCCAATTCTTGCTTTTTCCTTCATCCCTGGAGCAATAACTAACATGTAACTGTACTGAAGTGATTATTCATCCAATTAAATCTGGAGTGTTTTCCTACAATATTTCCCCTTAATGAGGATCACATAGGATAAAATTACTTAATTTCAGCAGCTCTAACAGAATAAATCCCTGGCCTCCACCGTAATCATCTGAGCTGTCTCTAAAACGTTACCAACAGCAGAGTTCTCCAAAAGCGTACCTCTGACACAGATCTTAGCACAGAATTTATTTCCGTAACCTCAAAGAAGTTAAATTCTGTAACAATACAATTCCTACTAGCTTTTCTCACCAATATGAGAAAACTCCACTGACACCAAAATCCTTTTCTAGGAATCTACAAGTCCAATGCTACACCTGCAGAACTTCCCATCATCACACCTGAAAATGATTTTGATCAAGACTGACAAAAAAAAAAAAGAAAGGAGTGTTAATGTAACATATTACACAATGGATGATGCCATTCCCTCATTTTTTTTCTTCATATTCTAGTTGGATTACGTATAGCCTTTTTTCCTTTTTAAATGCATCCCCTAGTTCACACTAGGGCTCAAGTCAAAAGATTTGTCATCTTTTGGACCATCCCAAATGCTGAGACTCTTTATGCATTGCTATAGTCGTGTTTACCCAATTTTATTCTGCCCTGTGGAGATTAAACTAAAAGCGTGAGGCAGAAAAGTTGGGCAAGATTCATATAAGGCACTTTCATCCATTACAAAAGCCTTGTCTCTAAAGAGAAACCCAAAGGAATCAATCCTGCATGAAAAGTCATTCTGTGAGCATCTCCCAAAGATTCAATCACATTTATCACAGTAGCTACTAATCGATTATATTTTGACTTGTCTTTGCTTGACTCCTCTTTTAAAAAAAAATAATCCAGAATTACACTGTCTAGTTTTATATCTGAATATCTTCCTTGTACAGAACACACAACCCACTCCAGCAGAAACTTTGAAGAGGAAGTTTTGCCACTGTGAAGACTTTATCACACACGTCTTCCACTTCTAAAATCCTTTTAGAGAGCAGCTCTGGATGTAATACTGTAATATTACTCTCAGCAGACAACAAGCTCTTCTGTACTTTTTTTTCACCATAGTCTACAGGCCTTAACAAGGAGTCCGTCATTAGAGGGTCCTGCCTTCTTTCTGCACTTGATCCACCCTTCCTCCGGAGCCTTCCATGCCACCTCCTTCTCTCTTCTCCAATCTGCCTTTAAAAAACTCTTTTATTCATGTGTTATTCATGGCCTATTATGTTTTTAACCACTCCAGTACCTCCACTCTTAAAAATCAAAAGTTTTCCATCACAGAAAATAAAAAGCAAAGAGAGAGCCAAGACAAAACTATAGCATATCAACATCACAGGAGCATGTTAAGACAAGGTGATAAAAACTGCACTGCTCTTCTAAACATTTCTTTCCCACATATAAAATACTATTTACTACATAAAAAAGGAAATTATATATTCCAAGTTCGATCTTGAGATAAGTCTACTTCCTAAAGACTGAAGGTAGATGAAATTACTTTTTTTTTTTTTTTTTTTTTTTTTTTTAGATGTAGGAACTACAAGTGCATCGGAATTTTCTATGCTTTCCAAAAAGCCTCCAAATTCTACAGTTATTGTCATAAGTAGGCTATCAGAAAAAAGTTAACCTTAAGTAATCAGCATAAAAATGCCTGTTATCAGAGCTGGCAATGTATGAATAGACACTGGTAGATTTAACCAAAAATGCAGGAACAAGATGTTTTTAAATATTTCATTTTTTTTAATTACGTGGCCAGCAGTTTTTGACATCTGTGTTGAACCCTCTCGAGTAAAAGGGAAAAAAACCCCAAACAAACAAAACCCAACCCCCCCCAAAATCTCTCACACTTTTGTATCAGCCATGGCTACAAAATACATTATAAACTTAATACCAGACGACGATGGCATACAAGAAAGAAGTGAAGTTATTCTAGAACCAACCAGCTCTACTTACTCCCCCCCATGACATTATCTTAACATTACACCTTTGATCCTTGCATAATAAAATTACTATAAAGAAAGGTAACAGGCTAAATTCTCCACTATGCATGCATTAGCATACATACTATGTTTTAAACTGTTGTGGTCAGAACAAAAAAGGAAAAGAAATTATGTTTACTAGCAATATTAATAGCTTCAATTCAGCATGTCACTTTCTTAAAAATAATGAGGTAGTGTCAAAATGAGTTATTACTGGTATGTTCTAAGTGCATCTGTCTCACCTTACATATTCAGACACCACATGCAAAATTAATATCAAATATCTTTGGGTATAAATGCTAAGGTGGTAAACAAGGATTTATAAAAACAAAAACCAACACACACACACACACAAACAAAAAAGCACCCTACTTTAAACAGAATTAGATTTGGAATTTACAATCCAATCATTACTTCTCAATAACTCTGTGCATAAAAAAAAAAAACAACAAAAACACACACACAAAAAACCAAACCACAAAATCCCGCTATTCCATACAGCAATTCACTATCTGCAGTCTGTGATTTTATAGCTCCCATAGCACGATCTTCCTCCATCTTAAGGGCAACATGCTCTATACTGGATAAAGTAGAAAACTCTAGAAACATAAGTATACAAAAAGCCCCCCAAAACCAACAGAAAAACCCTAAGCTGAAAAGGCACATATATAAATGATAAATGATGTGTACAGATAAACAAGTCTAGTTGCAATAAAAGCTGCTAAGTATTAAAACTCTGTAACCATTTAGTGCTTTAAAGACTAGCAACTTACACGTTAAGAATAAGTTTTAAGAAGTGACAAAAATGCTAAAGAATGTACATGCCAAGATTTCAGCAAAGATTAAGGAATAAATTTGAAAAATTTCCCCAGAATTTTCTCAACCATGACAAAGTCTGCTAGCTTGTGAGGGAGGGCATGCATTTAAAACAAAATGTTTTCTATCGCTAATTATTTCCCAATCGCACCATCAAAAAAATTACTTTATCTTTCAGACAGAATTTTTAAATTGATTCCTCTATGAGGTAAATTGGCAATAAACACTTCTTAACCTACCTAAAATCTAATCAAAATTTAGTTACTTCTTTAATAGAGCTACAATTTACCAATGTAAAATAGGTACTTTTGAACATCCAAACATTTTATACTGATGCTATAAGGATCATTATTTAATAAGCCAAATGAAGTAAGAAATACTTCACCCTAGTCTGAAGCCACACTAGCAAAATTAATCTATGGTACTATAAAGTCACCAGTGTCTCATAAAATTCTTCTTACCCTCCCCTCCATTTTATACTCTAGCACAACAGTCCTACTCCACACAAAAATCTAGCATGAACATATCTCAAGAGAGTTATAGAAAAAAAAATCATCTGATTGACTATCATAATGAAATCCATATAACGCTATTTTTGCAAAAGGCCATGAGTAGTATTCTGAGTCAACGTAAGTGTTGAGCAGAAAACTCCAATCTTTCAGTAGCGGTTTACTCCATTAAGCAATTATTTAAATTAATAACTTAAAAAACAAACCCAAGTTCATTCTTATCCTATTTACCAACCCTTTGCAAATAAATAAATGTGGATAAATATTAAAAGTAATTTTGTTTTGCCCTAATTGCCACATTATTTTCTTATACTCTTTTGCTACGATACCATTAACTCTCTCAACTTAGTCCAAATGATTCAGCTCTCTCCACTTCCCCGGTATGCCAGAAAGGGAGGATCCTAACAAAAGCCCACCTCTTAGGCTGCTGTCTAAGAAGTCAGCTACCAGCCTCTCCTCTCCTCTCCCCGGCCTTACTTCCTTTCAAACCAACAGTCTACCTTCTTAACCAATTGCTACCCCGGAGTAGCTCAGGAGAAGTACATTGCATCCGCTTAGCTCACTCTTCTGCAAGAAACGGGAAAACAGCAAAAAGGCAGGATATATCACTCTACTAGGAAGCAAAGTGCAGGACACTGTCCTGCAGCAAAATGGCAAATTCAGCTTTGAAAATACTGAGGTCTGTAAAATTGTTGGGTTTTTGTTGGTCCACCCCCCCACCCCACCCCCAGTCACAGAGCTACCAAAGCAAGAGGGAATAGTTCAATACTTTGCAAGTATTCCTTCAGACTCACTCCAGCTTAAAACCCGGAATCAAGTGCACCTCCAGAGCCCGAGCTTGTTATTATTAAGAGAAGCAGAAATGTCAGGTAATTACCACAGTCACGGCTACAAAGTAAACGCACTGCACTGTCAGTTGAGATCAGCAGATCACATTTGCATTCCGAGAGCGAGCTCTTGCTGACCTTCAAAGCACAGAGCAACGCTCATCTG